CTTGGTGGAAGAATTCAAAGCTACGCCTAAGAGCTCGAACTCTGGAGTTTGGCTGCTTCCTTTTGCATCCTGACTCTGCCACTTAATAACTGTGTTACTTGGCTAAGCTTCTTAACATCTCTGTGCCCATTCCCTCGCCTGTAAAGGAAAATAAAAATAGCACTCCCTTCATAGGATTGTTACAGGATTAAGTGAGTTAACATGTCAGGTGCTCAGAACGGTGCCTGGTACCATGGTTAAGGTGCAGTAAATACCAGCTGTTGTTAGGACTAGTGTCATCATCATTCTGTACTTCATTACTGATGAAGTATAGACGAACTATAAATGGGGAATTTCTCTTTTCCTCTTTTCAGACTCATTAAAGGTTTTATGCTACATTATGTTTTCAGGTCTCAGTATATAGCCCCTTCCAACTGCCTTTGTCACAGAAGTGAAGCCCCAGGTCTCTAGAGCCCACTTTCTCAGTTAAACAGGATCAGTAGGATACTCTCCTTAGAAAATGATTAACGTCAGCAAGTCCTTCTAGGATAGTTTGAAGTCGTACTTATTTCCCACACACAATAAGTAACCGACTGGGGTTCGAGAAAGTTACCTGTCTCCTGCCCCCACCCTCTTCTTTCCCTTCCCCGTACTCCTCCCAGCCAGTGGCACACCTGCTGGGTTTTGCACCTAACTTGAATTCACTTATTAAATGCAAAATGGGTCAAGCTATAGGCCAGAATGAACTTTGCTTTATAATTTCAGCAGTAATGGAGTTTGGAAGGAGATATTCTGGAAGGTGTAATAATATTTTAATAATACTTGCTTTTAAATGCCTTCCAAAGAGCTTTAAGTGTTGTTATATGTGACTTCTTACTGAAAGATTTAAAATCCTACAGCGAGGAATTTACACAGTTTGCATTGTCTTTTAGCCAGTTTTAATAGATCTTTGTTCTTTTGTGAGTTATTTTGTCTATACAAGTACTGTACACGTTTCCACTCTGGATAGTTTCTTTTCCTTCTTAGGTATTATTGTTCCAAACCAATGTATGTATGTTTAAAAAAGAGAAACACAGGGAAAAAGAATAACACTTTGATCACTGCCAAATGCCTTAGTGATTACTTCTATGATCAGTTTTATTACTTACAAAGATTAGTTTGTTTTTCTGGCCTATATGTGGAAGACTAATCCGTAGCACAAATTGAAGAACAATTTCAATTTCTCACCAATTTACTCATTATTTATTTTAACTTCAAGGTAAATTAATAAGTGACGTTATAGAAGAGATACTAATGATTCCTTGAAATATAATATTTGAAAACTGTTAATTTCAAATTTAAGAATTAGAGTGTACTTGGAAAAATTCTTTGAAATTTGAAAATATCACAGAAAAATATTCAAGCTTTGCCTAAAAACTTCACAGCGTTAAGGTGTAAAACATTTTGTCCATTTAAAATATATTTTTAAACACTAATGTGAAATACTCTTATCAGTTTAAAAGTTACTTTAAAATCCTCTGTCACCTCCAAACTCCTTCAGTTCTGATTTTTAAAATTAAATTTTTTAAATTCTGGAGTTCCATTTTATGTAGACTTCTTTTTTCAGTGTAAGCATATCTTAAGTGTATTTTATACCTAATTAAAAACACCATTTTCCTTAACCTGTCAACAGCTCAGTTGAGCAGCCAGGCTGTATTATTCGATATCTTGTCTGACATGAGGACAGCAGTCCAAAGAGAAAGATATCGCAGACTGGTGCCACACTTTGATAAATAGAGACATTTTATTTTTCACCAGGCTAATTCAATCCAGTTCAGTTAATTCTTTTTTCCCTGTAAGGACAGATCAAAAAAGGCAGCCATGAATGGCTGAGTTCGTAGTGAGTTTGACACTTAGTGTGTGAATATAAAGCAGACCACATGGGAGGGGTTCTGCCTTTAGATTTCAGACAGTCCCCAATACAAGAGCCCTCTCACTCTGATCTGCACCATGGGGAGCTGGAGAGAGTGGCTCAGACTGCTCAGTTACACTCAGGTAGAGTGGGAAGTAGCTGGAGTTCACTACCCTGCACACCCTTCCCCTTACAGTTGCAGCCATTTAAACTGAGTCATTCGTAAGAATTGCCAGATATTTTTTGGGTGGTCAGGAGTTTCATTTTAGTTTTGTAGGGTAAAGTGATTGGATACTACATATTGTTTTGTGATTTTGATAAAATCTTTATCCTAAATGCCTGTTCCTTAAAAGCCCTTATTACAATAAATATAATAACAGCTTTTCTGTTTCTTAGTGCAATGATTTCTTCCTGAGACATACTGAAATTTATACAGTCACAATATTGTTCATTCTCAAGGATGTAATGGGATGGATTATGCTACCAAACATGAAATGTTTAAATAATATTTATGAGAGAAGATTAACATTGTCAAATGTGCCTCCTGCTGCATAGATTGGGCCTAAGGTTCTCTTCTTTTGCATCAGAACCCTTCAAGGACTCTTTCCACCCAGCTGCCTGGTATACCAGTCTCTTCCCTGTCCTGCTGTCTAGCAGCCCCAGGCCATGCCATATGTCTGCAGAGCCCTCCTTGTCTAGCCTGCCAAGGCTATCCTTCATGTAATTTTAAATCCTGCGTTTTCCATGAATTAGGCATTCCTTGACTAATTGCTGTGATAGAACATTTCTTTTCTCTCTGTGGTCTGAAAATTTCATTATCGAGTGCTCTCCCCCTACCTGCCGCAACTATAGCTCTGTCGTGTGCCTTCTCCAAATGAGGTGATGTTTACTCTCTGATTAATCTACGTGGCCTATATGTTCTGGCTTCCACAGTACAGCTGGTGCTCACTAAACAGATCACATACAGAGAATGGGGCTATAGCCACACGGCACAGTTAGAAGGACAGATTCTGGAGCCAGACTGTACTACCAGTTACCAACTAAATGACCACATCGGAGTTACCTGATCTCTCTGTGACTTGCTCCCTTATTTTTAAAATGCAAATGTAGACGATACGAAGATATGGGACCATATGACTCCCTTAAGGATCATGAAGATTAAATGAGTAAATTTTGGTAAAGTGCTTAGGACAGTGTCTGGCACAGATTAAGTGCTGTGTAAATGTTTATGAAATAAAATGATTTATTAAGCATGTTCTATATGCTAATCCCGGTGCTAAGCATCTTGCATGTTGTTAACTCATTGAATCTTCACAGTAGTCTCATGGTAGATGCTGTTGCCATCCCATTTTACAGATGAGGGAACTGAGACACAATCAAAGTTAAGTAACTTGTTCAGGGTCACACAGCAAATCTTGGTTCTCAGGACAGAACCAAGATTTGAATTCACACCAGCTGGCTCCAGGGCCCTCAACTACTTCTCTGCTCTAAGCATCTTGATATACTGTCAGACCTGAGTGTAAATCATTTTGTTTTTGAGACTAAAATAGTCACATGGAAAGAGATGTAGCAGAATGTGTTGCTTGGCCTGTTAGAAAACATGCCGTGAGATAATGGGGCAAAAGAGATAAATCCTACTGGACCGGGTGTCGGCTACCTTGGATTGAAAATCAGAGGATGCAAACCACATGTTAGCAGCTGCTACCATGGCACTTCGGGCTGAGATGGACCATATGAGAATGGCCTTTTGGATTTTGTTTTTGTCATTTTCTCTTGAGCCACTCTTTTCTTGGACTCTTGAGGCTTTGCTGCTGTGGTGATTCTAGTCCAGGACCGTGCAGAACACCATAAAGATGGTGAGATACAGGGAGTGAGAAAATGTGCTGGCCACATAGGCCTGTAAATGGTGCATGTCGGTATGTAAAACATGTTTGTCTTCTCTGCTATGTCAACCAGCTCTACCAAAATACTAAATACACCCACAGGAGTTCAAGCTTAAAAAGGTCAGCAACCAGTTCGGAATGCTAGTAATTTCAAATTTGAGTCATAACTAAAGAAACCTTGGCTACATGTAAAATTCTCTTGAGGAAATGTTCTTGTACATGTGTGTATGCCTCGTAGATTTTACAGCTTAGGATGTGTACATGTCATTATAGATATTTTACAAACATCATACCCAGCGTCCAGACTTTTTGTCACACACTCAAAAGTTTTAAAAGTGAATTTCTTAAATCTTCAAAGGATCCCAGTTACTTTGCTGATCATGTAGAAATAACAAAAAAATATATATTTTACAGTTGTTTTGTGTGTGAAATAAAAAAGTTCCTGGGACAGCAATGCTTTGCAAAAGGTTCTAAAGGCTAGTAGTCTTAAGTGCTGGGTAAAAATTAAACTTGAATAGTGCCGATGAAATATTTACTCATCAGATGGCTTTGAAGTTTAGCTTCTTTTTGGTTGCTGTCCCCTTTCTAATGAACATGTTTCAAAGAAGAAAATGGTTATAGCATTCAGCTGTGATGTTTTCATCTTCCCTGCATGGAAGAAATCTGTTTTGTTTTGGTCCATTTTGGTATTTAAATTTTGAAGACTAGCTACTTAGAAATCACATTAATGACAGAAATGATTCCTACAACTCTGAATTCATTCTCCTTGATAGGGTAATATTTGAAAGTTAATTTTTCTAATGCCTGTAGCATTTTAAACAAAGATTGCTTTAATTCCTTTATTCTACAATCTCTCTAATCTAAATTTACTTAATTCTCACTAGTGTTATGTCCTAAGGTGACTGTGTGTATATAAAATGAGCAATATGTTATAAAAATTAATTTTATAAAATGTCTTGCTAAAATCGCTATGTTTAAAGATGTTTAGGAACTACATATTTAGCTCTTCAGTTTTGATAACTGAAAGATTTCCTTCAAAGTTTAAATTGTAGATGATTCGTGAATGCCGAGTAAATATTGTTTTTTTTTATTTTTCCTACAGCTTGGATTAAATTTCATTCATCTCAGTAATTTAGGACTTTTGATATTTTTATTGCAATCTTGGTTAAAAAGGTTTTATTTTTGTGTTTCCTCCCACATAGACTATGACACACTTCTAACATTTATGTTTGTGTTTTATTACTTAGTTTTCATATGAATCCGACATGCAATGAAGACCTCAGGAAAATCCCGGTAAGTTACTCAGGGGGTTAGAGAATTACCAGAGAACAAGCCAGTGTGTAAAAACGCCTTCATCTTTTTGAATGTCTCAGTCACCTAAGTATTGTCAGTTAGCATGGTAATTTTGAGAGAAAGAAAGTGAAATTCAGACTTTGTCTTTAATATACAATAGGGTGTGACTTCTAGGTATGATCTGCAAGTAAACATTAGAGTTATAATTGAAGCCAATTTAGATTATCCGTGTTTTGTTTACAGACTGTTTTGAAATTAATATGAAAGCTGTATGTGTCAAGTTCACCATAACGGTTATGAAATAAGAGCATGTGGAAAGACTTTTGTTGTTGTTGGGACAAGGATTGAAGAAAGAATAAAGCTGCTTGTTAATATTCAACAATAGGAAAAGTGTCTTGGCAAGAGTTCTAGATAACCAGGAAAGTATTTGAAAGAACAAATACTTTAGGACACTTATCTTCTTCGGCAGAACAAAACCAAATACATTAACAGGGTTGGTAGCAACCTGCTAAATCAACTCCTGCATTTTGCAAGGATTATTCAGATAATCTTAACTTCATTGTATTGTTATTTGAAGTCCAGTGTTGAATCTCTATTCAGATTTCCACAGAATCTGTAATCAATTTTAAATATATTAAACATAGAGAATAAGTTACTTTACAAAAATATAGGCAAATGTTAGAAAACTAAATTCTCACTGAATAACAGAAATAGAGCCTTTATTCCAAAAGACTGGCGGTTGTTGTTTCAACCATCTGTCCTTAGTGTGTGATCCAGATGTATCATAAGAAATTTTTTAAGTGATCACAAATCACGATTTTCTAGGATGTGATATGCCTAGAAGAAGGCAACGTGGGTTTAGGGTTTATTTTATAAACCATTCTAAATGCAGTTGTTTGTCTTTAAAATTATAAAAAATGTTAGAGAAGCACAGGACTCTGTACCGTGTTTTTGCTGTTTTATGTAAATGATTTGTAAGTTTTGATGTTTCATAAATTCTCAAGTCTTTATAATAATGGCAAGTCTGGCAAGAAATGTCAGAAAATATGAAGTCAGCCTTTGATCAGATAGTAAAATGAATTCTGTTAGGCAGTTACTTAATCTCAAACAAAATGCAACATCAAAAAATCGATTTAATATGTAGCTATTGTTTATTAAGTAACCTTAATTACAATTTCCATGTGCTTGTAAATGTACTTTTCCAAATCTTGTAATTTATTGCTGTAAAAGCATCCTTAGAATTCTTTAAAGAAATAAAATGTGAAAATTGTTTTAGTTAAAGGATTTAAAGGTGATAAAAGAATCCTTGATGTGTGATTATTTTTCTCTGGAATACTAACTATTCTAAATGACAGTTAAAGGATTACTAGGTGTTGTTAATTTACTGCAAGATATAATTAAGAGGAGAAAGCTCATCCTTATACTGATCATTGTGGAAGAAAAGTATTTGAACAATTTTTATGTTGAAGATTATAAGATGTTTGAAGTAATTTACATTAAGTTCTCCAATAATAGCCATCCACCAAGTTATTTTTTCCCCTTCTAGACATAGTATTTTGTAATTAAGTTTGTATATCTTATATGCTAGTGCCAACACCTGTCTGTGAAAGCACAGTGTTTAAACAGGAGCAGTAGCCAGTTGAAAGGGCAGTGTGAGCTCTTTAAGGCCTAATTAAGAACTGAAAGGGAGATGAAGGGAGGAGGACAAAAGATGTGAAAGTAGCTGAGATGATATTCCCAGAGCAAAGTTCCTCATTAGAACAATAATGAGATGATCAGAGAATGCCAAGCCTTCATCTCTCTCTCTCTCTCCCCTCTAGTTGCCTTGGATGTCAGTTAGTACCCCACCAATATTTGGTTACCAGGACAACCTTTCTTTAAATTTCCAGTTATTTTGAGTCCTGAACATTTGCTTTTGTTTAAATTTAAATATTGTAAAAAAAAATGTACATTTCCTAGTTTAAAAGGCTAGACTATGTGTAAAGTAAAAATGGATCACTAGTAATTCTCAAAGTCCTGTGCACAACTGTATTGTTTAAAATTCTGGATTAGAAAAACTTCATGTAATAATTCTATTATTCTCTCACCCAGTCTACATTTTCTTCTATCTGCATATGGACATTTTTAAACAGAGTTAGGGTAGGAATGAGAAAAGATTGGCTGTGAAAGGGGAAGAAAGAAAAAAAATTTACATTAAATTTCAAAATAAGAAGACATCTTAAAAACATATGTGCTGTCTATAAGGAGTGCTGTAAGAAAAAATATTGAGTACTTAGGAGTCTCATTGTAGGTTGTATTTGGTCCCGGTCAGTTTGGAGACTTCTAAATTTTAGGGTTTTTTCCAAGAATAGTAACAAAAGTATCTTTTAAAAAATAATTTTTATATTTG